ACAGATTGTATTCCCCAAGGGAGGATCTCGTCTGCTGAGGCCCAGTCCAGCAGGTCCTGCCCTGACAATCTCTTGCCTCCTGTGTGCTGCTATTCCCAGAGAGAGAGTGGAAGGGAGGTAAGAGCCTCCATCTGGGGCCAGGGGCTGATAGGGAACTGTGCCTGCTCTGTTGCACACTGGCTTTGCCTTGTTGGGTTGCACCTGTCCTGTCATCCTGATTCACCCTTTGAGGGTGAGTTACTAATTAACTTTTGCAAGTCACCTGGTAAGTCCTCACAGACGGTTTCAAGCCTCAGGCTGACCTCAAAGACACACATCATCTCACCTCCCTTCTCCATCCTTTGGGGTGGATCTACATTCATTCCCACTCCATACTTTGGTCCTGCTGATGCCCAGAGTTTATTAGAGGGGCCTTGAAAGGCTGAATACCAGTAACAGTGGCCATTTGGGAATTCTCAAGCCTCATGTGCCAGCCTTCCTGGGAGCTGTGCTGGCTTTTGGGTTTACTTAGGCCCAGTCCCACTGCTACTTCCTCAGGGCTCTTGTTTTCACAGACACCTCAGGGTGATCTATGCATTAGCAAAGTACCTATTAGAATTGGGGGCCTAAGTACTGTAGCCAGGCTCCTTCATCTGTGCCATTTGACGGGGAACCCCACTCTCCAGTTGCCCTGTGGCCTTGGGGCCCTGGCCGTATGTTTAACACAGCCCCCTGCTCCTTTATTCTCAGGCCGTCCAGGTAGCCCCCTTCTTGGACTTGGAGTGCATACTCCTCTATGGTTCTGGGTTAGGCAGGATTTCCCCCCAGGATACCACAGGTCAACTGTCAAGCTGCTCACCCCCTCACCCTGGGGCTGGGACCTGTGCCTGGCCCTAATTTGTGCCTCTTGTGTTGTGGGGTTCCCTTCCTGCTCTGAGCTCCTCAAAAGTTCAGAGTACCTAGTACAGGTTTTAAGGTACAGTTTTCAGTGTTTTCTGGGGTTTTGTTGTAGTTTTTTTAGGGCCTTTGGACCCTCTGCTTCCTGTTTTCTACTGCCTCGTTTAGGGAGCATCTCATAGATGTTTGTCTCTGGTCGCTGGGCTGGCCCCAGGCCTCCTGTAGAGCTGGAGCGAGGCCAGGCCGAGGCCATGTGTAGGAATGGGGAGCACCGAGCAAGCAGTTCAGGAGCCTACAATCAGCCGCCATGAGATTCTTGCTAAGCTTTGGGCGGTAAGGGAAACATCCTAGACCTCACTGCTGGGCTTGAATAAGTCTCCTTAAGTGTTTTTACAAACTGTGTTTTATTTATGCAGTGACTTATCCCTTCCATTCAGAGCAGTCCCACCCAGCCGCCCCTCAGCCTCTGGGCCACGGGCTCCTGCCTCCTGAAAGCAGAACTGCCTGGTTGGTCTCCACCCTGTATTGGGAGCCCAGCCACCATGCTCACGGGTATTTTCCTCATAAAGTTTATAAGCAGTTATTTATATGATCTCTTGTTATGTCAACTGGTTTGTATTGCCTATTTTGATTACAAAATAAAAATTTAACAGACTCTTCAGTTTTCCATTGCCTGCCATCACCTCTATCCCCTACTCCACCCCTAATTTTGGCTTGTTGAAACCAAAGCCTGGGAGTTTAGCCAAGTTCCCCAGACAGCAGCGAGAAGGGACCTTTGGCAGGACCAGCCTCATGTCTGTGTCTCTACTCCTCTGCTGATCTACAGGGAAAATCAGATCTCTTCCCACACAACTTTCTGTTCAGCAAAGCTGCCCTGAGTCATAGAACAAATTCGCCATTGGAGTCTCAGTAATCTCTGAAGGAGGAAGTCAGCTGCTTCTGGGTTGCTGTGAGGAAGTGGCTTCCCCTGGAGCAAGGCAGGGTGCTGTTTGCTTCAGGAATCTGGGGGTGTCTTCCTGGGGTGTTTTTCAAGCCCTGGACCTGGGGAGGACTTTTGAGGGGTGTCATATCCCACCTCAGACAGACAGCAGTCTCCAAAATGGGGCTGGTTGCTGCACTCTCCCCCCTTTGAACCCCCTGAATTTTTGCCAGGAGGAGTGATTTCGGAGTGCCACCTGTGAACCAGAGTTGGGGCTGAACTGGGGCTACCCCACCCAAGACCAGCTGTGGACCTTTAACAAGGAGTCCTGACATCAGCCTCTGCCTCCGCCCTCTCCAGAGCCAGCAGCCTCCTCTAACCTTGGCCTCCATCTGGTTCTTTGAGGGTGTGGCCCTGTCTCCTGCTACCACCCTTACTCCCGTAAACCTGCAGGAGTGGAGAGGAACATGAGGGGCAATCTCTTCAGAAGGGGTTGTCCCTGCCTTGGTGTGCCTCCTGTCCCGGCGGGCTAGGCGTTTGTGGGTGTCTCCCGGGGGACTGCGGAGAAGGGCCCCTTGGAGCGAGGCTCCCTAGCTTGGGAACTTAAGCTTTGAAAATAGCCTTCAAAATTCAAAGCCCGGAGCTGCGCTGCGCTGTCGTGGCAGCAGGGGTGGGTAGTTGGGCTCAGCAAACCCGGACGAAGCCAAGGAGGCGGCCGTTGCCAAACTGCCCTCGCGGCCTTTCCAGCCCTCGGGTCCCTCCCCAGCCTCCCACCGAACCCAGATGAGAGAAGGGCAAGAGCCGGGGCCCTGAGGCGGGTGGAGGGGACCCGCGGTGCGCGGGGCGGGTAGCACAGGCCCTGCCCCGGCCCCGCCCCTGCCCGCGCCGCCCATTGGTCCCCAGAGCGGTGACTCGCGGGCTGAGCAGGAAGGAAACCGCTCCCCGAGCGAGCGGCGGCGGCGTCGTCTCCAGGCCGTGCAGCTGCAGCGACCGCCGCTCGTCCGCCAGCCCATCCACCCGCAGCATGAGCGGCCTGCGCGTCTACAGCACGTCGGTCACCGGGTCCCGTGAAGTGAGTGCGTGCCTGGGGCACACGCTAGGGGAGAGGGTGGGCGCCCGGATCCGCCCCCAGGGCGAGGGCGGGGCGGGGGCTGCGAGGCTCGGCCTCCGCTGTGGGGGTCCCACGGCGGGCCCACGGCCCCATCCTGAACGCCTTCATTGGGCAGCCTGGGGCCTCAGCAGCCCCAGCAGGAACTGCCCACGCCCATCCTGTGCCACTCAGACACCCATTCTCTGCGCCCCCACTACCAGGACGACCCACACTGCTTCCTTATCTTGCCCTTCCATCGTGTGTGTACCTGGGACTGGGATGGCACCTTACCAGCCTGTACTCAGGCCTGCCCTGCCTTACCAGCGATGGGTTTATAGCTCTACCTGCCCTGAACTTTATCCCACTTTCCTTTATTCTGACTTCCCTCTCCATGGTTGGTGGACCCTCTCTCATCCTACACCACTGCAAGCCTGACTCATCCTCAGAAGTTCTAGTGGCAAGAACCCTCCCCCACAATGTGGAGGAGGAAGTGGGGGAACAGAAGCTCCTGGCCACAGTCCCTGTCTGCCCCGGGTTTCCCCTCTAAGCCCTCCAGCCTGCTCCCTAAACCCTGCCCAACTCCTGCCCCCCTCCTGCCCCCAGATCAAATCTCAGCAGAGCGAGGTGACCCGCATCCTAGATGGGAAGCGCATCCAGTACCAGCTAGTGGACATCTCCCAGGACAACGCCCTGCGGGATGAGATGCGAGCCTTGGCAGGCAACCCCAAGGCCACGCCACCCCAGATTGTCAACGGAGATCAATACTGTGGGGTATGAGCCTGGGAGTTGGGGGTGGGAAAAGTGTTGCAGAAGGACTCAGGCCAGAGTCAGACCTGAGAAGAGAACCGGCACTCAGGTGAGCCCCTCTCTCATCCCCTCCCCCAGGACTATGAGCTCTTTGTGGAGGCTGTGGAACAAAACACGCTGCAGGAGTTCCTGAAACTGGCCTGAGCCAAGCCCCTGCTGGCCAACTACTCCGTCACCACATTCCCCCAGCCCCCAGCCATTGTGGGCCATGAAGGACCTTGTGACCAACTCCATTATTCCTAACCCTCTGACCTTGGAGCCCCGCCCTCCAACCGAAGCCTATCCTCCTCTTCCCTCTCCTTATTCAGAGGCAACATTCCTTACCCAGTAGTCTCAGAAATTGTCTCAAGCAACAGCCCAAGTGCCAGCTGCCTCAGCCTGGCCCTGGGGCTGCCACCCTGCCTGGCACTGGCTGATGGGCACTTTTGTCGGTTCCGTTAGCCAGGGCTCTGCCAAAGGCCCCGCAATCCCCAACTTGGGAGCACCCTACAGACAATTAAATGTCCCATTCCATTGGCGCCTTGTCTGTTTGGTGTTGCCTAGACATCCTGAGTTCCTGCTCTGAGCAAGGCTCGTAGTTGTAAGTCTGCTGAGGCTGTGCTCCTGTGGGCAGGTCGGTTGAGCCGTCCCCTGTGTGGCACTTGTGTGTGATAGTGCATGTGTTTGGATATATGTGCAGCACACATATCTGTGTGGACCAATGGTTTCTGCAAACAGCGTGGGCGGGTCCCCTTCCGGTTCACATGCATGTGATGGCATCCATGACACGTCTGTGCCTTGGTGTGTACTGCACATTTGCATGCCTGTCAATAATGTGGCTGGGCCAAGTGGCTGCCTGCCTGTGATCCAGCCGATTGGCTGTGTGGGTGTGTCATGGGAATGGGCACACAGCTGCAGCTCTGCCAGTTTGGGGGCAGTGGCTTTGTGCTTAGTGTTGAGGAAGTTTCCCACGTGTTTGTGGTTGTGTGCATATCTGCACAGGGATCTCCTGGCTACACAGTTGCACATGAGGCTCTGCTGCCCCAGCTGAGCCTGTGCTGGAGCCAGCCTTCCCCTCACTGGATCAGCTTAACCCTTCTGTGAAGAAAGGAACCTGGAGGACAAAGACCCAGCGCCTAGGCCTGCCATCTGGGGCTCGAGTTACAGAGAGGGCGGGTCAGCACCACCTCCCCACCTTCCCCCCCCCCCGCCCCCAGCTGGGCCCCAGTCTTCCCTGGCACCCAGCTGGGCTGCCCCACAGAGGACCCTCGGGTGCTGCAGCTGGTGTTGGGGGCGGGCGCTTTATTCGGATTGAGGGCTGGGTTAGGATCAGGACGCAGGCAGCGGAGCCCGGCATGCTCTCAGTAGCAGAACTGCATTGGGCACCAGTCCTTCGTCCTGCAGCGTGAGCGCATCCTCGTGGTAGACTTTGGGTGGGAATGTACTGAAGATCTCGAAGGTGTTTGTGTCCACCGCCCTGGGGAGCCAGCAGAATGGATCAGACTGGGTCCTGGGACCAGACCCTCACTATAGCCACCAGCCTGGCCTCACACCCACCTGGCTTGTGCAAGCAGAGCACGCACATCACCAACAGTGTCCTCAGGCCGCATCAGCAGCAGAAAGGCCTGTTCGCCATCCTCAGACTTGATGCGCAGCATGGAGAGCCGGGGAGCAGGTGACTCTGGCGACTCCTGGCTCCTGCGGGCCCAGAGGTGGTCAGTGCCCCCAAGGCCCAACCCCCACGTCCTTACCTCTCCACTCTGCCCTCACCTGTTACGCTCTGCAGCCAGGGCAGGTGTCTCCACCACAATCTCCTGGACTGGGACAGGCCACGGGCAGCAGTTCTGGAAGGCATCAATGGGCCGTGGACAGAGCCCTGAACCCTGCCAGAGCCACACCCCAGCCCCAACCCTTAGTGGGGACTTGTCCATGACCAGGAATTGCTGAAACCAATGAGTCTAAGGGGGAGGAGAGGGTGTCCCATGTAAAGGAGGGTTCCAAGAGAGGAAATGGAAGGAAAGCGTTGAGGTCCCAAAGTCTTGTGAGGGAGAGAGAACCCCACCCTGACGATGACCAGGCTGGATGCCTGGCCCAGCATGGGTCAGGGAAGACCTCCCCAGGGAAATGACATCTGAGCAGTGACTGAAGGAAGAGGAAGAGTCCTTAGAAATGGAATGGGGGGGCAGGGATATTCCAAGGCAACATGGTCAACGGTCCCCAGGTCAGGGAAGACTTCAGAGAGGAGGTGATACATTTGGGAAAGTGTCAGCGGTTTGGGACTGAAGCTGGGAATCAGGTTGGACTGGAAGAAAGAAAAGGTGAGTGGGGGGTGGGGCGTGGGGGAAAGGACAGGCCTTGAGTGCTGGGGTAAAAGAGCTCGGCCTTTCCCAAGAACCACTAGTCGAGGGTTTCAACAAGAAAGAGACAAGATCCAATTTACACTTAAAAGAGCGGGGCCGGCCTCCCAGTGCTTACCACAGGCTGTATTCTTAACACTGACTACAGAAAGAAGCCGCAGAGTAAATCCACCCAATAAACACCTCAGCCAAGGCCCTTTGCCTGGTCTGTATTGTCAATGGGGGGACAAGGAAAAAAATGAAATAAAAGAGCGGAGACTGTGTAGGGGAGGACGGTTGGCAGGGCAGCAGTGGACATGGGGGGCCAGTAAGACCACTGCAGTTGTCTGGGGGAGACATTCTGGAGTCTAGACGAGGATGGAGGGTGGGTGGTGGGAATGGAGAGGGGAATGGATTCAGAAGTTCTGGGGATTAACAGGTCAGATAGGACTTGGCAATGTGGGGCAAAGGAGGGAGAGAGTCCTGGGAAAGTGAGGTTTGGTACCGTTGCCGGGCAGAGGCGTGGGAGGACGAGCCGGATGAGGAGAGGAGGGTGAGTTCTGTGGGGGCCAGGAGGCGGTCTCCAAGACTGGACTAGATGTTTTGGTCTCGACTTTGACGGGGTGCCTGGGCCTTGGGGCCACCAACAGCCTAGACTCTGGCTTTCCCCCACCTTACAGCCAACCCTTGCCAACCCAGCTGCTCTGTGGGCCTCAGTCCAGAGCCCTCAGCAGCTCCAGTTTCCAGGAGACAGTGGGACAGCTCCGAGACACCCATCTCTCTCCATCCAGGCCCTCCTCAGGCACCCCCAAGTCGGAGCCTCCACACAAACCGCTGCTGTGATAGGCTGGGCCAGGGTTGCTAGTAAATCCGCCAAGAAGACTGGGGGAGCCAGGACTGGCCTCACCTGCAGTGTGTCCCGGATGGAGCCCCGAATGTCAATCACCTCGCCTTTACGGATCACAAACTTGGGGAGCTTGTTCAGAAACTGCTCTGCAGTCATCTCAGAGCCTGCAGGGAGAGCATTGAGAGGCTTGGGGGCGGGGGGGGCGCAGGGGGAGGCACCTGGAGCTTGTCCTGCACAGCCTCCCCGCCACCTGGCTCAGCCTCATGGCCGAGCTCACCTGGGTGCTCCACTGTGGCTGAGGGCTTTCCAATCCTCTGCCGGCCCACCACGCGGCCCTCGCCTGGGAATGGGTCCAGCCCATTCTCTGGGTAGACCTGGTTGCGTAGGTCACTCACCTGGCAAGGAGGGAGACAGTGGTGGGCCCAGCTCTTCAGCCCTGGCTCCACCCCCACCCCTGCTTGCCCAGGCCCCAGGAATGGGCCCATGGGATGGTCTGATGCAACCCCCGCTTTGCAGATGATGAAACTGAGGCCCTGGGACAGAGCAAGAAGAGAGCTGTGGCCCATGCCATTGCACACCTGTGCCCTGCTCTTAAAGCAAACAGCCCTCACTGGAGCCGTGGTGCTGACGCCCTCCTCAGAAAGCCTCTTTCTTTCAGGAGCTCACAGGGGGAGGGATGAGGGTGTGAGGAGAGGACAAAGCCCCTATATAGTCTGCAACGCAGACCCCATCCCTCTACATGCCACCTCACTTGTCACAATCAAGGCATACCTCCTGGGCCCCTGTCTTGGCGTGGACCCCCAATTTTGACTCACTGTTTTTCAAGCTATGGTGGCACACATGCCTTCATTGTAGAACTAACATACCACCCTCTGGGACACCGCCTCATGTGCTCCCATCACAGCACCCTTCATCTTACACACCAACAGGGGACCAGCTCCATCTCCTGCCCCCTAGTCCCAAAACTTGCACCCCTCCACCCCCCATGGCACTACCTGCCATCCCAACCAAATGGCTCCAGGAGCCTTTAGGGGAAGCCTGGCCATTTTTTGTAGACGCCTCAGGGACACCAGGCAGTCAAGTTGTTTCAATGCTGGAGGAAGGGCCGTGGTTCTGCAGCTGAGGGCTGTGACTTCAGGGTGCCAGCAGGGGGCGCTGCCTGCAGCTTAGTCACAGACTGGGCCGCGGCAGCCTCCCCACTCCCTTCCCAGCCAGACTTCAGGCTCACCCTCCTCCTGAAGGTCATCAGACTGGGATCCCCTGGGGTAGGGCACTTGCTTCAAGCCTCAGATTGAGTGATGCCTGAGGAAGCTGTTTGTCCCCACCCCCTGCAAAATCCCACACAGAGTGCTGACTGGTTTGAGGAGCAGCTCATCACCTTAAAGGGGACCCCGTCAGGGTACAGGCGCTGGAGCTCTGAGGGGAAGAAGCCATCCAGTATGTCTCGGAGGCAGCGCTGCAGGAGGGACAGGAAGGGTAAGGACTGGCCAGACCTGTGTGGTGACCCCCACCCTACTTCCTGCCTGGATGGCAGGCCCTGGGCCTCGGGCTGACCCAGTGGGTCACACTCTGGCCCAGGACGTGGCAGGGGTGGAGGAGGTGAAGAACTCAAATCCAGTTCTTCACAGGTCTGAGTGCCCATAGGGGGCGGACTGGTCCCCACCATCTCCGACTAATGGTAAACAGACTGGGGAGCACCAGAGGCCTGTCTGCCCTCTCTCCCACTCCTACCTGTGTGGAGGGATCATGGAACGGCCGGAAGGGCCCATCAAACATCATGATGCCATTCCGGTAAAGCTTCAGGGGGATGGGCTCAAGGACATGGAGCTGTGCTCCGCCGGGCATTGGCATCACTTGGGTCTCACCGTCTACCATCAGCTCACTGAGGTCCTTCAGGCTGGCCAGCAGCCTGTCAAAGTCCACTTCAGGGGGCACCAGTGAATCCCCTGGTAAAGAGGAAAGACACCCATGAGCCTCTCCTCTTGGCAGCAGTGTGCTCTAGCAGCCCTGGCTTCCATGCCCCCTCCCATAATGAGCAGTGGCTTTCACATCTCTTTAAGTGGCCAGCTGGGGAGGAGGAAGGACAACTAACACTAGATAATAATAATAGCTATATTTTATTGAGGGTATACCGTGTGCTGGGGGGTTAATATCTATTATCCTCTTCTCTCTTTATTCCAACCCTATGCTGTAGGGCTATCATCAGCCCCAGTTTTCAGATGAAGAAACTGAGGATTAGAGAAGATTAATGGTATGCCTAGGGATGCACAGAGTAAGTGGCAAGAGCAGGATCTAATCTGCCTGTGTCGGGTGCTAGGTTAGCAGCTGGATTCCAGGAAGATGACCATGTAAGGGCCAGCTAGGAACAAGCACTCTGTCTATATTCATTATTGTTACCAACTCTACCTTGCAAAAAAAATGAGCCTCAGGCCAACCCCAAGGCTATGAGGTAGGGGTTATTTATCTCCATTTTACACCTGAGGAAACAGGCCCACAGAAATGGAAAGGGACTTGCCCCAGGCCCCCTGGCAAGCTAGAGAATGAGCTGACTCTAGAGTCTGTTTGTCCCACCGATCTGCATTATCAGGAGAAAGAGGTCAGAGTAAGGACAGATGGCTACTAAGGAGGATGTCAGGACAGGTGCTGAGCAGAACAGATGTGGGTCAGATCGCGGGTCACAGACCCCTCTGGGAAGCTGGCAGGGGCTCTGGGCCCGATTCTGAAAAGATGGGTTGCGCATACACAGTGCAGAAGCTTCGGGGGCTGCAGATGGGGTGGTGGGACAGCCATGACAGATGCCAGGGCAGATGGGGCAGAAGGCAGGTGGGAGGCTGGTAGGGGGCAGGCCAGGGACCTGTTCTCAGTCCTTGCAGGGACCTGGCTCCCAAGTAAGCCATCTACTAGGGTGTAACCCCCAACAAACAGCAGTGACTTTCTGGGCCTTCTTGGAAGCTGTTTTTCACCAGGACAGCCAGTCTGCACCAGGATGTGGGTCAGGGCTCTGGGGACCTAATTCCTTTCCCCACAATGGTTACAGTGGCTGTACGGTGGGGAAGTACAGATGTGGGTGGCCATTTCCTGTTGCTTTTGCACTGCTGAAGCAATCGGCTCCAGCTGTCCTTCCCTCTCCCCCTCCATTCCCACTGCTGTAGGGACTGCACCTGCCCCTGTCTCCTCCTGGAGCCCCTGACATTCCCAAGAAAAACTTGCAGAACACAGCGTGCATGGTATGAGTCAGAACAATGTCAAGACACTCTTTTCCTTTAACAACTACTTTCAGAACACATGGTTAAACCTAAAACAACAGAAAAGCTCATCTTCAACATCTGCCCTGGCCCCTATATTCCTGCAGATGGGTAACGTGAGGCCTAGAAAGGTGAGACCAAGATGACTTGGCCCAAGCAGAGCCAGGAAAACCACCAGGTACGCTGGCTGTTAATGCAGCTGCTTCCCCGGGCCAGGGCTTTTTATGGGTGCTGATAGGGCATGAGTCGTCGCCAGGGGAAGGGGCAGACAGAAGCCCAGGGGAGGGTGCCAAGAAGAAATGAGAGGGAAAAGAGAAATTTGCTGAGGACAATCAGCCCGAAGGCTCTCGACAAGTGAGCTAGAGGATGGAAAAGTGAAATCAGGGCGGGCCGGCGGGTTGCAGCACAGCAAAGGTGAGGCAAGGAGCCCCCGAGAAGAAACCACAGCTCTGGGCAAAGCAGGGCTGAAAAAAATAAGGCAGAAAGAGCCTGGCACGAATACCACACAGCAGGGAGTGCACAGCCAGAGCAGCGCAGCTGGGTCGCCTGGAGTGAGGCAGGGCAAAGGTCAAGCAAGGCCTGCCGTCTGAGCTGCAGCTTTCCCTTCCACGGACCACGGACAGGGAGATAACAGGACCTGTCACCCTGCCCACTGTAATGATGACTCAGTGTCTAGTTCATCTTAAGCATCACAGACAGGTACTGGCACTCCCATTTTACAGATAAAGAAGTTAGGCCTTGTAAGGCAACGTGCCCTGGGTCACGCAACTTGCAGGATCTGGGTGACTCTAAGCTTCTGTTCTCAGTGCCACACCTGTGTCTCAGTGTTGGTTCTTCGGACACTGCTCACTGGGGTCCCTTTCCAAAAAGAGGTGCAGTGCAGCTAGATCATCTCTGAGGCCTCATTCGACTTTGGGGCCCATGACTTTATTAAAAAGAGCAGTAGGTAGGCATGGAGATCAAGTCCAAACTCTGTGGCCCGACTCTGGAGGCCCTCAGAGCCTGGGCTCCCCTGCCTCCCCTCAGTACGGTCCCCCTCACGCTCTGAAGCCAAGTGCCAAGGCTACTGCTTCCAAGCTGTGTGACCCTGGGCAAGTGGGCCAACCTCTCCGGGCCTCAGCTTCCTCTTTTATAAAATAAAAACAACAGTCCCTGCTTCACAGAGGTGCTGTGAGGAAGTGCCCGGCCACTAACTGCTGCTGTCTCTAACCCCTATCCACTTGCTCACTGCTGGGCTCAGGGTGCCCTTTCGCCTCCTACCTGAGAGGCCTTGCTGAAAGCCTTTTCCCCCTGAGGCCGGGCCCCTGTTCTTCCTGGGTTTCTGGAGCCCTTGAGCCACTCCCTGGGCCCTTGTCAACATTTGTCATTTTGTTTGATTTCCAACCACACCAAACCCACTTGAACCCAGCCTAGAGCATCCGGCCCCAGGCCTGGCCAAGACTGGCTGCTCAAGAAGCCTGTACTGAATGCGTCCCTCAGTCCTGCCATCCAGCACATATGCCTGGAGCACTCATGCTCTGCTGGGCCCAGAGGACCGTGGCCACGCCCATACCCAGAGTCCTGCCCACTTTGGGCTCCAATTGAGTGAAGGAGACAGGGCAACAAACAGTGACAATGGCATGTGGTAAGTTACTTTGTGGGGGTTGCAGAGCACCCCTTCATCACTATCAGCAGGAGAGTTGTGGGCCTGCACTGGGATGTTCTTCGCACCTTCGCTGGAAGGACCATCTTTGCTGTGAAATGTGAAGGTAGTGCCCAAGACACCCCAGCATGCCCCGTCCCCGCCACCTTGGGCAAAGGCTGTTGAACAGGAAATGGACCCATTATTAGCACAAACCTACAAGTCACACCGTGCTCTGGGGACTTTACCTACATTTGCTCTGCTCTGCTAGGGCCACAAGCAAATCTCTGGCCCCTCCTGTTGAGCAATGCAGCCTGCCCCAGTGTGCTCTGATCGTCCAGGCCTGGGCACCTGGGTACCACCCGCCCATCGTGTGTGTGTGCACGTGCCCTGGCCTATGGGCAAAGCACTGTGCTGGGCACTCTGGGACATCACAGGGCTAAGCAACAATGGCTGGTGGTCACCGAAGCATCAGCCTGCAAGAACACTCCACATGCACGATGGTGTTTGCTGCTCTTGGCAGGCTCAGGGGTCAGTCATTCCACAGGGGAGGACTCTAATGCACAGCCCCTTCCTATGTGCGCTGGCTGGCGGTGTAGGCAGCACGGAGACGGGGGCTCCGTGCGCATTTGCTGAAGCAGGTCAAGTTCTAGCTGAGCTTCAAAAGAGGGGAGAAAGAGGGGCAAGGCCCTCCAGAGGACATAGGACTGGCCTGAGCAGGGGCAGCTAGCCTGCCTGGGGCCGAGGCCAGACCCCTTCCAGGGGCCCAAGGGCAGCCTAAGGACTGGTGAAGCTGCTGCAGCCCACGGAGTGAGCATGGCTTACTGGGCAGGGAAGGGAGGAGGCTCCCACCCAAACACAGGAGCCCAGGGCTTGGGTGGAAGGGTGGTAGGGGGCAGGGGGAGGGGGAGTGTAGGAGGGCTGGACCTTGATGAGGGGTAGGGGAAGTGAGTTCAGTGGGGAGAGGGGTGTGCGGGAGTGAAGGGCTCAGAGGGGTCAGGGCAGGGGGAGTGAGGGGCTCAGAGGGGGACAAGGAAGTGAGGAACTCAGCCCTGAGGCTCAACACCTGCTGTGACCAGCGCAGGACTGTCCCTTTCATGTCTCCGAATACCCTGCAGCAGCACCTCGCACACATCCCATTTGAGGCCCAATATACTGGTGGGGAGGGGTGAATCATCAAGCCTGGGGCCAAGCCCTTGAAAGGCTCCCCACTGCTGGGCCCTCTTCCCTAAGGCGGGAGTCCAGGCTCTGGAACGTTTAATCAGCCCCAATACAAATGCGCTGGCTCACCACTTACCGGCCAGGCGCCCCAGGGCCCATGGGGCCTGACAGCCGTCCCAGAGAGGAAGAGCCATAGCGGCAGCCCAGGTGAGAGGCCAGCTTTGTGGATCCGAGGGGCCCCTGGGGCAGCGGCAGTCTAGTATCTGGGGATTAAGGCAGTGTGCGCGGACACGGATGCAGAGAAGCAAGGAGAGAGGGGAGTCCCAGGAGGAAAAGCTGCTATAAGTGAAAAACATATTGTTCTTTTGGCAGAAAAGCTAAATGGAGGCAACAACCTCCATCCTTTGAAGAGAATGGACCCAGCTTTCGGAAATGGCCAGCAGTTCTATGGTCCCAAATCTATGGGGTGCAGCCCTCTAGATACTAGTCCTGTCCTTTAGAAGATAATTCCGTTTTTTTGGTCCCCCTTGTATATGCACCCCTATGTTTATTGCAGCATTGTTTATAATAGTCAAGATATGGAAACAGGCCCTGGCTGGTGTGGCTCAGTGGATTGAACACAAGTCTGCAAACCAAAGGGTTGCCAGTTTGATTCCCAGTCAAGGCACATGCCCAGGTTGCAGGCCAAGTCCCCAGTAGGGGGCACATGAGAGGCAACCACACATTGATGTTTCTCTCTCTCTCTCCTTCCCTTCTCCTCTAAAAATAAATAAATAAAACTAAAAAAAAAAAAAAGTGATGCCTCAGCCGGGTACCTCAGTCCTGATACGCCAAGACTGTGGGTTTGATCCTGGGTCAGGGTACATATAAGAATCAACCAGTAAGTGCATAAATAAATGAAAAAAACAAATCAATGTATCTCTCACTTTCTCTCTCCCTTCCTCCCTCTTTTTTTTTTTAAGTGGTGAGTCCCACACAAGCAGGTAGATTTCAGTGGTCTGGCTATAACCGGACCTGAAAAGGGGCAGCTTCCATAGCAGAGGGCTTGCTTTTAAAGGCAATAGCTTTTGGATGTATGACATTTTATAAACTATGGTGCCTGAGAAAATTGAGGTCTTACTGTATCTTATATCTCTCAGTCTTTGAAAGATGAGCAAGCAGAGAGTGAGTATGAAGCAAGACCAATAGAAGAAAGCGGTGGCAGGTTTGGGTGTCAGTGACGGAAGCCAAGGCCCTGTGTCAGTGGCAAGGTGTGCGATGTCGCAAAGCACCTCGAGCTTGAAGGCAGGGGCATGAATGAGATGTGGCCGCTGGGCAGCTTCTGGACAAAAGGAAGCTGTTGGGGAACTCCCTCTGTCGGAGGGGCTGGGGGTGAGCCCCCTACTCTACCTGGCTTCCAGAACTTCTTGGCCTTCATCCAGTCCATCTTGTCCTCCTCTGAGTCTGCACTCTCCTCCAAGTCCTCCTGGTCCATGGGCTCACCCACCCAGCGCAGGCCATAGTCACCAAGGAATCGCTGGAGAGGGAGACGCCAGGGGCACTGTCAGCTCAGTCCGTTCCCAGGAAAGAGGTGGCATCTGCCCAGGCCCCAGCCTCGGGCCTCATCCCAGAGCTGTCGGCAGAGGAGAGGGGCCCAGGGGTCTTAGCCACTTCCTGGCTGTGAACTTGGGGAGCCACTTTACCTCCTGATACAATGGCGATGACAGCACCTTCCCCATAAGCTTGTGAGGAGGACTGCGCAAGATAATTTATGTCAAGTACCACATTGCCTGGCACGGGAACTCACTGAAGGCAGCCGTTACAGTGGTGGGAAGCCATGTGGGTCTGGCCTGAGTGTGAGGAGGGGCAGGGACAGCCTGCTCTGTAGGACTGAGAGGATGTAGCCACCCACTCACCACCTCACCGGGGCTGGGTCTTAACGTCTCTGCCACAGGAAAACTCATCTCCCTTTCTCCCCTCAGCCCACTGCTTATGTGCGTCCAACAGCCTGCCCACTGCCAAACCCAGTGGGTTTGTCTTTACTTCTTGTAACACATGGTGTTTTCAGTTTCACATTTCCAACCATCTACAGTTAGATGTCTAACAGGGAGCTCAAAATGAACGTGACCCAAATAGTCACCACTCACTGGCCCCACCCCCCAAACCTCTCCCGCTCCAGGTCTCCCCCATCCAGTCCACAGCACCCCTGCGCCTAGGCCTCATCCACGACCCAGTCCTCTCTCTGCCTCCCCAAGATCTTCACCACCTGTAGGCGCCACCTCCAAAGCAGGCGCAAATTCAGCCACACAACTCTGTCTCCTCTGCTGCCACCCTTATTCAAGCCTCAGTCAGCTCCCTCTTGGACAATTCAGAGGTTCTGCCAACCCTCCCCCATCACCTCCTCTAACTGAAACCTTCCTGTGGTTCCCAATTCCTGCAGAATCAAATCCAAACCCACACTGTGGGTGGTACCCTCCAGCCGTCATGTGGTCATGTGACTCCTGCAGCCTCTCTGGCCCTCCCTCCTGCTCCCACAACCGCCCGGCCATCAGCCAAGTTTCCAGGGTGGCAGGTGGGGCTTTTCATCTCTTCAGCCTAGATTCTCTTTCCCTGGTCCCCTTGCATCCTCTAGATCTCTTGTTCAGTATCACCCCACAAAGTGGAACAACCCCCAAATAGTCCCTATTGTGTCACCCACTGAACTATTTCATCCTGTCTCTGTACTTGTGCCATCTCTCTCTGTACTTGCGTATGTGTCTGTCTCTTCCAGACTTTTTGCCTCAAGAGGGCAGGGACCACATCTACATCCCAATACCTGGGACATAGGAGATACTTTGGATGAGTTTGTTAAATTAATGAAGCAATAAATGTGTGAGTACTGTGAACATGGGGGCTGCATATGACTTCCTTTGCCCTGAACCTCTGGGGTGCAGCCCTCGGCCCCTGTGGCAGCCGCTCAGTGGGGCCCCAGGGCTGCCAGCATTCCCAGCAGGCTGCTCAGGGAGCAGCTTGGCTTCCCCACAGCCCCAGCTGTGAACGGGCAGCAGGGCGGCAGGGCGGCAGGGCGGCAGGGGCGGGGGCCCTCGGCTGCAGCCGCAGCTTGGGGGTTTGCTGCTGTGGTCTTGGGTTTTGGGGTTTTGGAACACAAGCCTGCATAGAGAGAGAGAGAGGTTAGATGCCAGGAAGAGCTTCTGGTAGGGCCAGCAAGGAAGTGAGTGGCAATGACAAAGCATGTCCCCCAGGTCTCTCCCTTAAACATGGGGTCCTTCCTGTTTGAGGCTTGCTGTATGAATGGGGGCAAGGAAAGTGACACACGGTTACTGAGATGCCAAAATCAGAGGCAGGGGATGGCCGTGACCAGTCAGTGAACACGTGTGGACAGGGGCCATGCTAGGTCCTGGACGTGCAACAGTGAACAGGAGGCAAGTGGTCCCTCCCCTCCTCAAGGACTTCATGGTCCTCTAAGGAAGCACAGGACAGAGCACCTGCCCTGGTCAGGGCCCGAGAGGGGCTCCTGGGGAAGGGCCCCAGCCTTGATTTGAGACTGAGGATGAGTGAAAACTCACCAGGGGAAGGTGGGGAAAAAACGTTTCAGGCAGAGGGATCAGCATGCGCCAAGGTTCTGAGGTAAAAAGAGCTCAACGTGGTCCAAGAACTAGAGGCAGGGCCCGCAGATAGAGGGGAAGAGTTGCTCAAGGCGAAACTGAAGAGGAAACTGGAAGGCATGTGCCCCACCCTGGACTCCTTTCTGAATCTTTAACCTCTAGGTTCATCCTGAGCAGAGAAACCAGAGCAGGGCCCAGGGAAGTGTGGCCAGGGGGCCCAGCGTGGTGGGCTCTGACCCAGTTCCTGAGGGGCAGGCAGCCCTGGCCGCTGCCTCTCTCACCTCCATCTCCCCGACCTGTCGCTGAAGCTGCATGCACATCGTCTCCAGCTCCTCCTGCCGCTGCAGGGACATCTGGCCTTCGGGAGAGATGGGAAGGGGGTTCCGCTGCCCCAGCCCAGAGGCTGCCAGGCTACCTTGACCGGAGCTCTGCCCTGGGGGTCACCTGAAGGAGCTGTCCCTTGAGAACTTGAGGATCCCCTGAGAACTGCCTCTAGCCTCCCTTCCTGACCCTGAGAGGGGATGCCCTTCTGACTGAGGAGGTTGCCACCCACCTGCAGCAAGGCTCCTGAGGAGGCTGCATTTCCTCCACACTTGCAATGGAGCGCCCTGTGCTCAGGGCTGGGCTACATCTACACTCAAGGGACTCAGTCCCACACAGGAGGGCACGATCCTCGCGTGTCACTGCCCCTCTCTGGGCTCAGCTGTGCAGACCCTACCACAAGACTCGGCTTGATGCTTTAGAGCCCTCAGGCCTGGGGGTCGCTGACCCAGGGGAGATGCAACAGGAGGGCCAAGCGGCCACCGAGGGAGCCTCTTACCCTCATGCTCCTGGAGGGTCTCCACCAATTCCTCCAGGGCTTGGATCTTCCGGTCCTGCAGCAACAAGACATGGGAGGGGGAGCAGACAGGCCTGGTGGTCCCAGAGCCCAAGGGAGCCCCTTCCAGAAGATCCAGAATTTTTGCCTCTGCAGGGGAACTAGGGAGCTTAAAGCCCCTGCCCCTGCCACCCTTTGGCACAGCCACTGCTCCTGTATCTCAGGTGATCCTTGTGGTGCCACGGAGGTGGGGAAGACGTGTAGAGGTCCCCCGAGTGCCCTAGAGCTCAGTAGCCGCTGCTGCCGTCCAGTGTGAGGTCCAAGGGCCTTCCTTGCTCAGCCAGGGAGAACACCCCCACCCTCTCTACTCAGGTCACAGGGATCCAGATCAATCCCAGGCTACTCCTGACCCTCGAATTGGGCAGTCCAGTGAGGGAGATCATTCTAGAACCCACCCACCCTGGCCTATGGCAGTAGTAGCCTCACCGGCCATACCTGCCTGGACCCCTCCATCCCGCAGACCAGATCCGGGGCCTCTCCCCACTGAAGTCCCACCTTGCACAGTATCTCGTCAGTCTGGGCCTTCACCTGCCGCTCCAGATTCTGCACCTTCCTTGTCATAGTGGCCATCAACTCCGAGTCGTGGAATACAGGTGCTGCCAACCAGACACAGTCCTAGAGCCCGTGTCTAGAGCTGAGGCTGAGGTATAGGGGCCCAGGGGAGGGAAGCGGGATCCCCGGGAGTGGGAATAAGAACAATAACAACAGCTGTCACCTACATAACAGGGACCATGCTAAACACTTTTCCTGCATCAATTTAGGCAGTCCTCACCACATGCCTGTGAGGAAACGAACTGCTTTAGAAAACTGAGGCACAGAGAGATTCAGTAACTTTTCCAAGGAGTGCAAGTAAGTGGAATAACATATGGGTTACATTGCCTTGAAGCACTTTCAAAAAGTTCTGCTTCAATCAAATCAAACTTCTAAACCTCCTCCCCAGTTTACAGGAGAGAGGATAGTGAATCAAGTTAAACAGCAGACAAACCCAGTGTGGGACATTCCACAAGACAGGGGCCTGGACTCTTCAAAATGTTAGTGCCATTTTTTTAAAAAGCAGGGACTTTGTTTTACAAAGATATTGCAGTCAAAAGCAGAGCCTGAACTTTTACCTAGATCGGGGAGGGGGCGGGGGGCGGAATAACCATGAGACATATTTTGGAACTGGGGAGATGTGAGTACAGAAGAGATGCTGGAGAGTATGACTGAATGGTGCACACTCTTGGGTGTGATCATGGCACTGGAGTTGTGTGTCTCCTTGTTCTTAGGAGATGCACACTGAAGAATTTAGAGGTGAAATGCCATGATACCTGTGACTGATTTCTAAATGGCTCATCAAAAAAATACATTTACATTCATGTATGTGGAGATGGAGAGAAAGCAACTGTGGCAAAATGTCACTCACTGCTTCTAGGCAAAGGGCATACGGGTGTTCGCTGTACTATTATTTCAACTTTCCTATATGCTGGAAATATTTCACATTAAAAAGTTTGAGAAAACAAGAGAGAGACATAGGAAGAAGCAGGCACTCTTCTTCCCCAAGGTGTTGTCTTTCTCAGTGTGAAGCAGCAACTGCAGCTGCCACCCTGCATCCACGCGGGGCTGACATGCCAAGGACAGCTCAGTAGAAAGACGGAGAAACCTAAGGTAGTGAGAGAGTCTTTGAGGTGTTGGATTAACAGCTCGTGGGCTGCCTCCTTAGGTCTTCTTGGTATGTGGGACAATAAGCCCTCCTTTAATGTCCACGCCAGCAGAGTGAGGGTGTTCTCTGACTTGTAGTTAAAAGCTTCCTAACTGATACACAGCCACTCGGGGGGTGACAGCACAGAGATGCCAGCATGTGTACGAACTCACTAACGGAGGCAGAGAGGAAAGAGAGAGGAACCCCCCCCCCCCCCCCCCCGCCGGAGGTCGTGCTGAAAAGCTGGGAGGATAAGAGTGCTCAGGGGGAAAACCCCGGGAGGCAAGGAGACATCAGGGAGAGTGGCCGTGGCGGCCAAGAGCCCAGGTGTGCTGAGGAGGGACCAGTAAACCTACGGTGTGGAATGCTGCTGTGCAGAGAAGTGAGACAGGACAAGCAAGGCCTTGAAGGGTACAGACGCTGGCTGAGAGCCGGGAGAGGAGTAAATGGCAGGGGAGCAGTTCAGAGAGCGTGCTAATGGCTCTTTAAGGGAAGGAGCTGCTCACTGTGATTACTATTCAAAGTGTCCCCAGCTGGGTTGACGGAGAGTCTCGCTTTGTGATTGAATGGCTGTGAGGCCAAGCTCTTTCTCTCTCCCTCAGTTCCCCTCCCTACCTGTTAAGTGGGGGAGTGTTTGGTGGAGGGCCCCCTCACTGAATCCTCACATCAGCGAGCTGACCTAGGTGTTCCCATTCCTACTTCATCCAGGAGGAAGTGGAGAGGGACACAGGAAGGTGCTTCTCCCAGACATTCCTACTTCATCCAGGAGGAAGTGGAGAGGGACACAGGAAGGTGCTTCTCCCAGACAACAGCTAGTGGAGGACTCTAACCTCATCCCCAGCTGCTCCAGACTCCCCGCTCAGACTCTGACCCTGCTCCACTGGCCCGTCTGCCCAAGTCTCCCCTTTGCCAGGGGCCCGATCAGTCCTACCTCCTCTGGGAAGTCACCCTGATGAGACCCATTCCCGTTTTAGGTGCCTACGTGACCAGAGTGTCACCACAGCCCTTTGTGGATGCCGCGAGCCAGGCGAGGAGGGCTATCTGGGGGACTTGGGGCCGTGTCCAGAGCCCTGAAAAGCTGGAGGCGGATGGCTGAAGGCAGAACTTCCCTCTGAGGCCCTTCATTCCTCTGATCCTGGATCCTGGCCCACTGACATCACACTTGATGGTGACTCCAGCCAGGTCCATTCCAGAAGTACTAGACAAAGCCTGGCCAGACCTCTTAAGCTAAGGGCTTGGCCAGACCTCTTAAGCTAAGGGTGGGGCCTACACAGCTTTATGCCAAACCAGGCCCTGGACAGTTTTGGGGGAGTAGACACATGGCCATGGTCAGCCAGGAGCCGGAGCGGCTGCCTCAGGCCCAGCAGGCAGGAGTAGGAGCCACGCCCCTCTGAGCCTCCCTCGGCTCCGGGGCCCTCTCCTGCTGCAGGAACCCAGACCCCCTTAGGCCCCTGCTCTCACCTTGTCTACTCACAGGGGCACCTATGCCGCCATAGCAGGAAGGGACAGAGATCCTTTCTTCTGAGCCATGTCCGTCATTCAGCACCTCCACCTCATTTTCTGCGGACGAGATGCCCAGGTCACTCCTCTGGGGCTAAGGCTTAGAGTCACCTGGGGCCCTGGGCCGCGGCTGAGATGAAACAGCCTGTATTCTGTCCCCCAAACATATGCAGATAGAAAACTGGGGACTCTGGAGAGCAAGGATCCAAACAGAACAGGCCTCTTCCTAGCGTTCTCCCCGCCTCGTTCCTCAATGACCAGTACTGGCACCACAGTGGGGGTGAGTGGGGTTGGGAATGGGCAACGGTCTGAGCCTGCAGGACTCAGAGTAGTGATGTGAAGACAGGGCTTCAGGAATGAAAACCTACTATGGGCTGGAGAAGGCTGTCAGGAAGGTGGGCGGGGACTGGGCCCCCACATGGATTCTCGACGCTCACCAGCCAACCGCTCAGGGGTGGAGGAGTTCAAACGTTAGTGACTACATCTCTGCTGAGGGTGTGGGCCTCCTACTGAGAGCTGCCAAGAGGAAGCCCTGTCCTCAGGAAGGGATGGCAGCTGCAGGTAAAACTGGGGCTGGGCGAGCTGCTGCTCTGGCCGATAGACGTGTTCCTCGTGCTCCTTCCTTCCATCTGCCCGGCCACAATGAGAGGTGGCAGATGGGAGGTAAGGAAGACATGAGGGCAGGGCCCTCACTTACCATCTCCGTAGAGTTTTATCCCTCGCCTCCTGGGAAACCGGGCAGGAAGGAGAAGAAAGACAGACAAGTTAGGACCCCCTGGAATGTCACCAGGAGAGAGGCCCTAAGCAACAAGCCCCCAGCTAAGACTTAAGGAGGTGGAAGTCGGGCCTCTACCTCCTCAGGACATCCACCCCCAAAGCCCATCCTGGCACTGGGAGGAGACAAAGGCAGGCTTCAAGGTATTCAACTCCTTGAGCGCCGGCCTGCAAACCAAAGGGTCACCAGTTTGATTCCCAGTCAACGGCACATGCCTGGGTTATGGGTCAGATCCCTGGCTGGGAGCGTGCAAGACACAACCACACGCTATTGTTTCCCTACCTTTCTTTCTCCCTCCCTTCCCCTTTCTCTAAAAATAGATAAATAAAATCTTTTTTTTTTTTTTTTAAAGGGTATTCAACTCCTCCCAGCAGAGAAGGATGGGGAAGACCTGGAGGGTAGAGTCTTGGGTGGAAGACAAGAGTCCCCAAGTCAAGGACTCTAGCCCCAGCTCTACTTTGCAATGGCTGTGAGACCCCAGGCCCGTCACTCAACCTCTCTGGATCTCCTTCAAATGACTCAAGTGATGTTCAGAAGAGAGGTAAAAAAAAAACTGTTTGAAAAGATGAAAGTGGTAGACAGATGCGAAGGATTCCCTTTTCTGAGAACCCAGCATGTGGCGGGGCCCAGAGCAGGTGCACTGCCAGTGTTTGGAGGGTTAATGAGAATGAGTAAGTAGATGGATGCTAAGCCACTCCCCTGGAGCCCATACCTTACTAGAGGGGACCAGCCAGTGTGTGCTTGACACCACAATGTAGAACCTCCCAGAAGGTACAGAAAGATGAGGTGGTCAGAGAAAGCTACACGACTCCTTATTGTTCTCCCCACGACACTGGGAGCCGCCCTTGCAGTCCACAGTAGGGGCGAGGAGGAGGCGGGGCCATGGACACAGAGGCTCTGGTGGCTGCCCCCTACCCTGAATTCACAGGCTCCGACTGCAGGGGCACTCTCCGGGTCTTGCCAAGGGAGGCCAAAGGTGAGCTCATAGTTCTTCTAGATTCTTGCTGTCAGGGACTCCCTGAGAAGAAAGAAGGAAGTCAGTCCTTGGGATCATTTCCTCAGGATGAAGAAGTAGTCTGAAACCTTGCTCAAAGGAAGCTCTTAAACATGTGAATTACGGCTTTGGCTTTTGTTGTTTTCCCTTCCTTCTCTCTTCCTTCTGGAAAGATGACTGCGCACAGAGGAAGTAACTAAAGGCCAATAATATATTCAGTGAATTAAGTAGTACATTATGTGACTAACATCTATAAACTCTAGAATCAAAGGACCTCTGTCAGGGCCTGAATTGGGATTTTTGTTTCACTCTGGAAATGTGTGGCCTCTATCCTGTACCTGAAGCTGCCGAGCAAGGGGACGTGTGTCACCTGTAGGTAGCTACCTCTGTCTTCACTCAGGAGTGTGGGACTCAAGGGAGCCCTCCAAGGACCAGGTCCAGGGCTTCCTCACGCCCACCATCCTGCCCCAGCCCCTGCTGTCCTGTTCAGGCATTCTCATGGTTTCGTGGCCAAGTGTGATAGTCCCTTGTGGTTCCTTTCCCAATTTACAAGTGGTGTCAGAAGGATCTTAAACACAAAGCTGACATGTCATTTCCCTGCTAAAAGCTCCCAGTGGCTCCTTCTCACCCATAGAAAAAAATTCAAATTATTTTAACTTGGAAGATCTAGTCTCTGCTTGCACCTCCTGACCCCGCCCCTCCTCTCCTCCCCACACTGAAGCCGCTCTGAACTGCCAGCCTGGCCCCAAATGCACCAGGCCTTTGCGCACATGGCTCCTGGCCTAGAACTCAGCTCCTGGAATGGTCTACCCACTCTCATCCACGCCCTTCCCTTGACGGGGCTAATTCCTTTTTTTTTCTGTTTGTTTTTGTTTGTTCTTTAATTATATGCGTATTTTAACTTTTTACTTTAAAATTATTATAGACTCACTGGAAATTTGAAAAATAGTATACAGACGTCTTAATGTCCTTTACCCAGATTCCCTTATTTTACGGAACTATATGTGTGTATCCTTCCGTGCCATGTCATCCCATGTGCAGATTCATGTCACCAACACTGTAGTCAAGATACAGAACTGCTCGGCCACTTGAAGATTTCCTGCCTGCTCCTCCTTTGTGGTCACACACTGCTTCTCTCTCCACCACCCCAACCCCTGGCAATCACTGCTCGGTTTTCCATCTCTAGGATTTTCTTACTCCAAGAAGGTTGTACAAATTGAATCATACAGTGTGTGAGCTTAAAAAAAAACAACAAAAGAAAACCCCGCTTTAATGAGATCTATTTCACATGCTTAACCCTTTTAAAGTGCACCACCGTTCAATGGTCTTTAATCAGTATCGCAGAGTGAAATTATCACCACAATCAATTTTAGAACATTTTTATTACTCTAAAAAGTCCAAGACACTGTGCATTTAGTGACTACAAGCCCTGCATAAACTCCCACCAGACCTCCCACCAGACCTGATTATCCTTTCCTTCTCCAAACTCTTGTCACCATAATGACGCCTCAAAAGGAACTAGATGAAAAGAAATGAAGGCTTGGTGAGGATGTGAGGAAACTGGACTGTAATTTGTTGAACTGTAAAATGGTGCAGCTGCTGTGGAAAAGAGTCTGGCAATTCAATAAAAGATTAAACACACCTACCTCATGGCCTAGCAATTTCACTCCTAGGCATCTACCCAAGAGAAATGAAAAGTCATCTCCACACAAAAATTTGTATACATGTTCACAGCAGCATTAGTCATAGCAGCTAAAAAGGTGGAAACAACCCAAATGTTCATCAACCAATGAATAAACAAACAAATGTGGTATATTCTTATAGTGGAATATTATTTGGCAATAAAAAAGGAATCAAATACAGTCATATCTTGGTACTCGTTGGCTTCAGAACCTGTCAAACCCTGTACTCGTCGCATTTTGATGAGAAAAAAAATGTTTCAGCATTTGGTGCTTGCTCAGGATTTGTCACATTTGCTAGAACTTGTATGAGTCATGACACGCCCTTCCACAAGAGAAAATGCTTTATCATTGGGGGCTCATCGGTTTTGGTATACGTTTTGGTATACGTTTTGGTATACATCATGACTTCCAAAACTAATGGCAAGTACCGAGGTACCGCTGTACATGCTACAATGTGAATGGACCTTGAAAACATGCTGAGGGAAAGAAGTCAGTCAAAAAAGGTCACATAATGTTACGATTCCATTTATATGAAATATACAGAACGTGCATTTCACATAAAGCCAAAGTAGATTAGTAGTTGCCTAGGGCTGGGGGCAGCGGTGGAGTAAATGGGAGGTAGCTGCTAAAGGGTACAGGATGTTCTATTTGGCTAATGAAAAGTTCTAAAATTGTGGTGATGATTGCATAGTTCTATAAATATACTAAAAACGATTGAAATTTACATTTTAAAGGAGTGAATTATATTTCAATAAAGCAATCATAGAAGGAAAAAAAAGGGAGCTGTTTCCCAAACCAAATCCAACATCTTTCCCTGAAAACAAAGTTCTTCCTACTTCCTCCATCTTAATGGGACCCCATCATCCAACCACAAAAATTTTCTCTTCTTGCTTCCCTCTTAATCCCATCCCATCATGTACCAACCCTGCAGGTTAAACTCTGCAACTTCTCTCACATCGAGCTCTTCCTTTGCATGCCCACTGTTGGCCGTCATAGTGGGGCTTTCACTGTCCTTCTTTGGGGCTGTCACAATTGCCCACAACTGACTTCCCTTCTTCCAGACTCACTCCAGGCTAACCCAACCCACTGTCTCCAGATCAATTTTCCCATAGATTACAGGAGACCCCTGGGTACAACGAGTGTGTCTTCCCAGCAGCCTGGGGAGCCCTGAGCACGGGTATGTGTCTCTCCTATTCCCTCAGATCCGGGGTCCCTAAGGATAGAGCCATGTCACTTGGCTCATCCATCATGGAGGGCTTCCAGGGGCAAACTGTCTCCCCCCTCAGGCCTGGGACGCCTTAAGGTTGCACTGTCTCCGTCTTAAGGCTTGGGCTTTGAGGGGAAAGCTGTGCCCTACGCCTCTACACCTTCGGGACCAAGTTCAGCACTATGCTTGACAGACACTTTCGTCACACCTATTGGGCCTTTTGGCTTCCCCCATGTCCAGGCGATTTCCAGCGCCTACAGGGCCCGGCAAGCTGCAAGCCAGCACTCCCTTGATGCCCAGCTTGAAGCGCTCTCGGCGAGATTTATTTCACCACCTAACCCCGCCCTGGGAACCGCGTCGCTGCCTCCCGCCTCCACGCGTAACCATGGTAGGCAGGGGCCCGAATCCGATCCCAGGACGCGGGGGTCCTGCTGGGGGAGCCGGCCGCTGGAGGAGTCAGGCCTTCGGGACTTTTGAGGCGAGGCCCCAGCATGCATGGGGTACTCCGCGAGCAGAAAGGCCTTAGGTCAGGACTCACCGCACAGCGCCACGGAGCCGTCCCGCGGCGCCATCTTGTTGTCACGCGGTTTCCCAGGCGACCAAGACCCGTCCGCTTCTCATTGGCTAATCCAAGGGGGTGTCTGAGCAACAAGCAGGCAGTGGAGACAGGTACAGCTATCTATGCTCTAATTCTATTGGGCAATAGAGTTTAATCTTCGCGGGGTAGTGTAAATCCCAGAATCCACCGGTTTGACCGTACTTCAGGGCTAGGGAAGTGGAAAGTACCTTATACCACCTGGAGACCCAGAAAGCGGATAACCTGGGATTGACTTCATCAAGCTGCTGGAAGACTCTGGACCTGAATGTGCAATACCGAGAGTACCATAGTTTTGCTAAATTGATTTTTGGAAAAAGTATCCCTTTGAGCCTGTTCCCCATCTAATCAGTATTTGGTGGGGGCTATTTTGAACATGAATTGAAATGATGCAAGTACTTAATAAATTCTTAATTTCTCTGCGAACGTCTTGACCGGATGGTGCTCTGAAGGGCCGCTCAAATTACAGTTCCTTTATGTAAAAGTTCAGGTGAGACACTTCCCATCCCTGAACCTCATCTGTAAAATTAAGGTGTTAGATTAGGTTAGAGAAACTAAGCAGTTCAGTTAAGAGCATAGAGCATGGACGCTGGCCTCATGAGTCCTGGCTCCTGACTTGTGTGTCCTTGAGCAAGTTATTCACTTTAGTTTCTTCATCTATAAAATGGGGATAATACCCATCCTACAGAGTTTCTATGAGGATTAAATGAGATGATGCATACAAAGTACTTGTCTCGACACCATGCGGAGTAAATTTTAAGAAACATTTCCTGCTTTTAAATGCCATTATCTTTATCCCTCAGTCTTCAGCTGTGATGACCTGGGGTTCTATGACTTCTGATTTCAGGCGCCCACTTCTTTATGCCTGGGCGCAACCACAAAAAATCTTTCTCTGCATGTCTCAGACTGCACTTTTTAATATTTTCCATTTGACTTTCTAATCTACCACATTCAGAGGAGGCCAGGCTCTTTGGGACTTTTTTTTTTCCCCCCCTTAGAAAGAGAGAGAGAGAAACATCAATTTGCTGTTTATGCATTTATTGGTTGCATCTTGTATGTGCCCTGACAGTGAACCACAAACTTGGCGTATCAGGAGGACAAACTGAGCATTCTTTACACACCAGTTGGAGGCCGAAGGGAGCTACCAATTAATGAGCCTTCCAAGTACCTGCTGCCAACATTATCAGGTTTACAGATGAGAAAACTGAAGCTCAGAGAAGTGAAATGCCTTGCTTAAGGCTATGCATATAGAAAGCAGTAGTAGATTAAAACCCAGAACTGTGCTCTCTCTAGAGTCTGGGCTCTTTCTAGAAGCTTCCACTTCAGTAAAGCAGGCAGGCAAAGAGACGCCAAGGTGCAGGTGGTACATGCCCACTGCCAAGTAAGGGGTTCAGGTGAAAGTGTGACTGGAAGTTGGAGGTGGGAGAGCTCTGTTACTGCTGAGCTCTCTGAAGCTTGATGTATGAGATGAGAAAGTTTGAGGTCATCCTGTGGCCAAGTGTTTTTGA